AATAAAATATTAAAAAAAATTACAGTGGGGATGAACAAATAGTCTTTTGCCAAACAAAAATTATGGGGTTATAACATCTTTACCAAGTAAACCACACAATCAGTTGCATTCCTGTCAGGCACAGTGGCACACACCTTTAATCCCAATACTTGGGAGACAGAGGCAGGTGGATCTCCATGAAAACAAAGCCAGCCTGGTCTACCCAGTGAGTTTCAGGCAGGCTGGGACTACAGGGAGACCCTGTCTCAAAAAGACGAAAACACAAACAACAAAACAGTTATATTCTTTTTGTTACATTTTGGATTCTTTTGATATAAAGTCTACATAATCTTGACCCCCAAATCCTCCTTCATCAGCCTCCTATGTACTGGGATTTAGGTATGTACCACACCTAACATAACTGCATTCTTTACATAACTTTTTTAAAGATAGTTTAGTTTATAAGGCCTTTAAAAACATGAGGCACAAAAATTACCATAAAAATAAGCTATTGGCTCAGGGTAGTAATTGACTATAATTCCTGTAATGAGGAGGCTGAAGCAGGAACTTGCCAGGAGTTCCAGGTCAGCCTGGACTGGTATGGAACCCTGTCTCCCAAAACTCCAAAAATCAATTACCTAGCCCTAGAGGGGAGAAAAAAACAAACAAACAAACAAACAAACAACAAAAAAAACCATAGCTATTTCTTTTACTTTCATAAGTCATTTGGTAAAAATCAGTTCAAATTCAAAATAATTGTAACACTATTGTCTTCACATCAATAATATACAGACAACTATTCTATTATTATCAATTAATCTCATAATTCATTTGAAAGTCATTGCCCTAGACAGGTGTGATGGTACATACACATAACCTCTGGTACTCAGGAGGAAGAGACAGAAAGATCCTGTAAGCCCCATTTCAAGGCCACCCTGGGTACTTATTAAAACCCCTTCTTTAAAAGGGGAGAGGGTCTGGGAGATACCTGCATAAGCATAAGGGCCTGACTTCAGATCCCCAGAACCATGTAGAGGTGGACATGGCATCTGTAATCCCAGCACTCCTACAGCAAGATGAAGGGTGGAGACAGGAGAATCCCCAAAGCTTGTGGGCCTGCTAGTCTGGAACATGTAGCAGTGAACCAGAGACCCTGTCTCAAACAAGGTGCAAGACAAGGACTGGCAACTCAGGCTGTCATCTGACTTGCACATGTGTCCTGGAGGCAGACACAGACACAGACACACAGACACAGACACACAGACACACACACTCACACGGCCAGGAAGATGGCTCAGTAGGTAAAGGCACTTATTGCTAGGCCTAATGACCTGAGTTCATATGGTGGAAAGAGAGAACTGACTCCTACAAGTTGTCCTCTGGCCTTCACATGTGCACTGTAGCACATGTGTGCTGACACATACACAAAATAAAAATTTTTAAATGAACTGTGCAGCTATCCACGATTACCAATAACCCAATCAACTTTGTCACGATCTCATTATTTTTAATATATATTACATCCTAATAATTTATAATTATTTTACCATTAGCAAATCTATGTTAGCTATTACCAAAAATACAAATTTCTTCAAGTAGCAGGTAAAACATAAAAATGGCTTTAACAAAATCAAGGACCACCACTGAGGCTTTATGTGCAAGTTGGTTACAAAACATCACATATTATGAACTGTTGATATCAGTTCAAATGGCAGAGTTGACATTTTCTGTGATAAAATTATTTTTAAGATAAATATAAAATTCCTAACACTCATGATTCAATTATTCTGATGTATTTCCCTTTAGATGTACCTGTTGGCTTTTTGTTTACCTCCTGTTTACCTTCTAGGATCTGATACACTGATCTCTTTAAATCATAAAGAAAGTTAACAACTTTTTAACTTATAACCACTTTGAAGTTTATTTTACAGCACTTTTCATCAGATATCATGTAATTTACTGATCAGAACTCTTTACAAATGTTAATGTCTGGCCTTTGAGACAATTAAAAACCTTTACTAAAATTTGACATCATGATTTGTTAACTTAAGAAAGTGTTATGATGGTGAAAACTAAAAGAAAAATAAAGCAGAAATAGAAATGACTTCCACAAAAACCAGACAGTCCTCCCTTATAGCAAAAGAAGGGAAGAAGACAGAAAGGAAAGAGAAAAGGAGGGAAAAGATGAGAGGAAAAGAATGAGGGCAAGATTCCCCCATTTGTAAAAAGGAGGAAACTGAGGTCTCAGCAGAGAATGTAATCAACCAAGTCAGTTTGTAGTAAGGCATCTTCTTTACATATTATTGAATCCCATCATGCCTTTCATGTTTCCAGCAGCACCCTGTTGAAACTGCCTCATCATTGATTGGAGTCCTGCCATGCCACCTAGAGGGAAAGGAGAGGAACCACAGGCAATCAGCAAGCAGACTGAACCAGTTACCACTTGCAAAACTAACAAATATTGAACTTTTGAAAAATACTGTTTGGACAGCAGTCACCTATTTTTGTTGTCATTGTTGTTGTCTCTTTTGAGACAGTCTCCCTGTAGCCACAGCTGGCCTGAAACTCTTTTCAACAGGTTTTTATGTATCACCACAGAAGGCTTACCATTAAACTACAAGCTTTATAAATTAAACTGTATTACAACTGGCAAGAACTTTATATTTACCCATGTGGTGAAGAACTCGAGGATCCATCATTTTGGCCATTTGTTGATTCAATTTTGCCATCTGTGACTGACTCACGTTCTTAGACATGTCACCACCTGATAAAACAAAATGTTTTAATCAACATAGAATGTGAAATAGAGTATCATAGAAAGCTTGATGAACTGAGTACATAGAAAACATTCAACTGTAATTTTATCACCCGAACAGAATAGTTTCACTACTTATCTTTTTTCTCAATTATATTTTTTTTAGGAAAAACACAAATTTTATATAAAGGAGCATCTGAAGGTTATTTTGTTTTGTTTTGTTGTTTTTCTTTTTAGCCCTGGCTGGTCTGGAACTCCCTATGTAGACCAGGGGCCGGCCCCAAACGTACAAAGTTTGGCCTGCCTCTACATCCCTGAGGGCTGGGATTAAAGGTCTGTGCCACGATGCCTAGCCCTATCTTTTTACCTTAAACAACCACAGCAAAATAAAACTCCAGTTGAGATAAAAAGACAAGAAAAAAAATAAATCTAAGCTATGGATACAGCTTAGTGGTAGAGCACCTGCGTAGTATATGAAATTTTGGGTTTTATTTCTACCTCGACTAAAACAAAAATGAGAAGAAACTATAGATGACTACTGTGATATCCACATGGGGAAGGCTTCATGAGCATAAATGAAATCAATTACATTAAAAAATGTTTTGTCTATTTTGTTTTGATTTTGAAGCCAGGGTTGCCCTATAGCCCCAGCTGGCCTGGAGTATGTTATATAGACCAGGATGGCCCCTATCTCACAAAAATTCACCCACCTCTGCCTCATGAGTGCTGGAATTATAGGTGTGCAATTGGCTAGGCTTGTGTTATGTTTTGTGTTGTGTTTTGTGGTGTTTGTTTTGTGTTATGTGGGTTTTGTTGTGTTGTGTTGTTTTGGGTTTGGTTTGGTTTGTGTTTTGTGTGTTTTGTTTTGTTTTTTTGTTTTGTTTTGGTGTTTTGTGTGGTGTGGTGTGGTGTGGTGTTTGGCTGAGACAGGGTCTGTGTGGTTTAGTTTGGGGTTTGGGGGTTTGGTTGGGTTGGGTTTGGTGAGACAGGGTCTAGCTGGAACTCAAAGGGATCCTCTTGCCTCAGCCTCCTGATGCTGGTTAACAGACCTGTGTCACCATGTCCACCTAAAAATGGAAACTTTGGGGAGGGGGAAGGGGGTTTGTGCTAGTAATCAAACTCAGGGCCTCAAGCATGCTAGCCAAGCACTGTACCTCTGAATTATACCTCCAGCCCTAAAAAAAATGGTAATCTATGTTTATTAGAAAATAGAAAAGTCAAACAAAAAAAATCAGGAAAGGGACTAGATGGCTCAGCAAGTAAGAACACTAGCTGCTCTTACAAAGAATCTGGGTTTGGTTCCCACCACCCACATGGCAGCTAACAACTGCCTGTAACTCCAGTTCCAGGAGATCTAACACCCTCTTATGGCCTCTGCAGGCTTTACACACACAGATGCACTTACTTACATGTAGGTAAAACATTCATACACACAAAAAATTTTTTTTAACTCAGGACAATTATTTGCAGATGAAAAGCAAGGATTTTAAGGCGTAATTAGAGCACTTCAGAGCAAAAACACTGAACAAGGAAGAAGTGCCTCACAAAGAATTAGAAATGTATTGAAAAAATATTTTACTATTAAAATGGAAATTACATGAGAAAATTTACTTAACATCTACTATGTTTCTGATCAAAGCAGACAAAAAACTCTGGCTTCATGGAATTACTCAGAAACTGACCCTTACCACACAAATAGACCAGTCAGCCCAAAAATCTAAAGAGGCATTAAACAAAGACAAAAGCATAACTGAAATAGTAGACGTTGGAGCTGGTGGTTAAAGAGTGTGTTTGTGTGTGTGTGTGTGTGTGTGAATCCACATAGTCTTTATTTCTATTGTTTTGAGACAGGGCCTACTTGTGTAACCCTGGCTGGGCTGGAACTCACTATGTAGCCCAGGCTGGCCTCAAACTTGTAGTACACCGGCTGTTTGTGCCTGCAGAATGCTGGGATTACAAGGGAGTGCCACCCTACCCAGAGTAAACAATATATTCTGAATAAGGTTTATCAATATGCAAAAAAATTAGTAGTTATATCAATTGTCATTTCCAATAGATGCTGTAGGATTCTCTGATGAGTGAATAACAGTTTTATTAATACTTTCTTATATCCTCTAAACATTCTACATATGTTCATAAAAATAAGGTTAGTTTTTTCGATACTGTCTATCATCTTGAATCTGAAACCAGATAAATCACAGATCACATGGTAAATCCTGGCAGTACTCATCTATAACTTTAAGCTCAGGTTATCTTTATTTTCTTCATATTGGGAACCAAACTAGGGACTCAGACACCATAGGCCCTACCCCAACCTCTAGAAAATGAAATTCAACAGTAAATTTTCCAAAACTAGACTATTTGATTTTAATATTTGTATATTTCTTCACTTCTTTCTTTTCAGTCAGTTAACTGATGAAGCTTCTTTTTCTCTCACCTTTGAAAAGTCCTTTGATGCCTCCCATCTTTTTTACCATCTGGGCAAACTTAGTATACTGTGTTAGAAGTTCTTGAACATCTCTTGTTGACACACCTGATCCTCTGGCAACTCTTTGAATTCTTCCTGGTTGCTTACTAAAAACCTTGGCGCCATCTGTACTGTCCAGTTCTGCAAATGAAGGTCAAATAGTTTCACTTTTATAGTTATTATCAGCCAGGCGTGGTGGTGCATGTCTTTAATCCTAGCACTCAGGAGGCAGAGGCAGGTGGATTTCTGTGAGTTCAAGGCCAACCTGGTCTACATAGTGAGTTCTAGGCCAGCTGGGGCTACAGGGAGACCCCGTCTCAAAAGACCAAAAAAAAAAAAAAAAAGTTATTCATTATCAAAGCAATGGGCACTATATAACTTCAGGGAGGGTTTTTTTTGTTTTTGTTTTTGTTTTTTTTTTCTTTTGTCTTAGGCAATGCCCAAGGTGAGAAAACAAACGTCGGATCCCCTGGAACTGAAGTCCCAGACAACTATTAGCTGCCATGTAGGTACCGGGAATAGAACCCAGGTCCTCTGCAAAAGCAGTCAGTGCTCTTAAGTGCTGGGCCATCACTCTAGCCCATGTGCAGCTTTTTCACATGGGTTCTAGAGATTCAGGTCCTCTTGCTTCGCAGTGCTCTTACCCAGTGAGCCATCTCCCCAACCCATTTCTTCTTACAGTGATAAAATTTCACCTTTCTATTTGTATACTCTAAAGTATCTTATGTACAGGGGCTAGAGATATGGCTCAGTGGTTAAGAGTACATATTACTCTTCCAGAGGAACTGAGTTCAGTTCCTAGCATCCATATCAGACAGCTCGCAACCCTATGTAACTCCAGTTCCAGGAAATCCAATGACCTCTTTTGGCCTCCTCAGTAACTGCATGCACATAGTATATGTACAGTCATTCAGGCACAAATGCATACACCTAAATAAATCTTAGAATCTTACATAATATAAAAATAGATATAATGGTCAAACCACAACACATATTTAATAGATATTCTCATTTTTCATTTATTTATTTATTTATTTATTATTTATTATTTGTTTATTTTAGAGACAGGATCTCCCTGTAGTTCCAGCTGGCCTGGAACTTACTACATAGATCAGATCAGCCTTGATCTCAATCTCACAGAGATCTGCCTGCCTCTGCCTCCCAAGTGCTGGGATTAAAGGTGCATACCACCACACTTGGCATATATGCTTTTAACTTAAAAGTTAAACATGGAATATATTCATAAGTGTATTTACAGTATTGGTAACCTATAAAGAATTAAAGCAAACATACATGTACCTTACCTACATTTTAAATAGAACATTCTGAGACCCAACAGGTGTGGCTGCACATACCTCCACTAAGGAGGCAGAGGCAGACAAATTTCTGTGAATTCAAGGCCAATCTGGTCTCCACAGTGAGACATGGTCTTTAAAAAAATAAACTAGATGCTGGGCGTGGTGGCACAAGCCTTTAGTCCCAGCACTTGGGAGGCAGAGCCAGGCAGCTCTCGGTGAGTTCAAGGCCAACCTGCTCTACATAGTGAGTTTCAGGCCAGCTGGGGCTACAGGGAGACCTTCTCAAAAAAAAAAAAAAAAAAAAAAAAAAAACCAAACTATTCTGTGTGACTGACCGTGACACTGACTGCTGCACAGAGGCTCTGCTGCAGGGCTAGCTTGGAGCAGGCCCAGGAGCACCCCTTCTCTACCATATCAGTCAGGCCTGCCAGGCTCCTTAACTCAAGTGTCTTAGTTCTACATTTGTAGCCTATGGCCTACCTGTCACTCTACAAGCACCTTGAAGGTGTCTTATCTATGGTAGAAGCTATGTGACTGTCTACCTTCAAATCAAATGTAGATTTAACTTAATATTTAAGATGTTTTAAAGTGATTTTTCCCCAATGTTTTGTATGAAACATATCCTTTTAATTTAACTTTAATATAATAAAGATATATCAACCCCCCCAAAAAACAAAAACAAAAACTATTCTGAGAACCTCTAAAACTCCATATCTATCACACCACATTTCACATATCTATTCTTTCCAAGTCCTCCACACATCTCAGAGATAAAACATATTTCAAAAACAGAACAGGGGTACTCACTTTGACTCTATACTAAGTTACAGCTAACTTTTAGTTCATAAATTTAGACTACCTAAGTAGAATCTGTATATAATTAACAGAAGAATTCTTATTTTCTACAATTGTGTAATTACTCCTTACAATATTCTAATCCTTTCTGCAGTTCATTTGTATGAATTCCCTCCAGTTTTCTGATCATTCAGAATGCGGCACAGTTCTTCTGCCTTTACTTGCACACAACAGCTAGTCCTGGATGAGATAGACTTTGAGTTCTGTGTGTGGTGTCCTCACTTTGGTCTGTCATTGGTTCCCTATCTAGAGTGAGCAGACTTTTGTTAATGTTTCCCCAGGAAGAGTGTCATAACAACATTCACGGGGGAAAAAAATCATCAGTGACCGGATGTGGTGGTGCACACCTTGAACCCTAAAACTCAGGAAGCAGAGAGTTCAAGGTCAGCCTGTTCTACATAGCTAGTTCCAGGCCAGCTGGGGCTATGTAGTGTGACCCTGTCTCCAAAACTCAGTAAATAAATACATAATTTTTAAAAAATTTTAAATTAGCAGTGTTGAAGATGAAGAAAGGAAAGATACAATCTTATTTGAGTTACTATGAATGCCTGAAACTCATAAAAGAGAGACCACAAAAAACAGTAAATTAGGAAGTAGATACAGCACAGATGAGGGTGAATTATTCCAAGAAAATGAACAGAAGGATAACCACTGGTGGAGGACAGAGCCTTGGAACATATAGTCATTTAAGAGCTGGGCTAAATAAAGAATGGGCAGGGTAACAAGAAGGGTAAAGTTAAAATTAAGGGGAGGATTTCACACACTAAGAAAAAGGTGATTAAAAACATCCAATGATGTAGAAGCCAAGAAAAAGATCCACTGGAGAAGACCACAAGGAAGTTTAATATCACCTATACTTCAGCATAACAGATATGATCACAGTTCAGATTTCAATATTCTTAAAAAGAACATGTACACTCCAGGCCAGAGGAGCTACAGGAAGACCCTATCTCAAAAAGACAGTAAGCCAAACAAACACACAATCTCCTTTAAGAAGTCTGGCTGCTCAAGAGAAAGAGGCAGGTAGATCTCTGTGAGACTGAGGCTAGCCTGGTCTAGTGAGCTCCAAGACACTTAGGGTTACAAGGGAGACTCTGTCTCAAGAAACAAAGTTTGCCTGAAAAGAGTTACAGTAAAAGCCTAGAAACATGAACTTTAAAAGATCTGTATGCTAAGAGAACAAAAACAATCAGTAGGGGGCTGGAGAGATGGCTCAGCAGTTAGGAACTCTTGCTGTTCTTACACCAAGGCTATCTTCTTACATAGCTAGTTCCATGAGCATTGTACACATGTGGTACACTTACACAGATGCAAGTAAAACACTCATACACATAAATAAAAATAAAATAAAGTTTTTAAAAATCAGTAGAAAAGGAATTCCTATCTCTCTCAACTGAAGGCAGAAGTCAAGTTCATCAAGTAGTGAAGTAAAATCCCTAAAAACTACTGGGTGGGAAAAGAAAATGTACTATATATAAAGTGGGGGTGGGGTGGGGGGGAGGGTCATGGGATCAGGAATGCTGATGGAATTGAGGACTGAAGAAAAGAACCACAAGCACTAGAGGCAGTGATGCAGGATGACTGATGAGGCTGAGGACACTTCTGAGAGTTTCAGAGAAGTCTGCAACATTGCTTCAGCTATCTTTCCCTCACATCTGAAAGCTATAGCCGCATATTAAAGTATTCATGAGACAATAAATAAGTTTTTCTAATAAATAAAAATTTTTTTTTTTTTTGGTCTTTTTGAGACAGGGTCTCCCTGTAGTCCCAGCTGTCCTGGAACTCACTATATAGACCAGGCTGGCCTTGATCTCACAGAGATCCACCTGCCTCTGCCTCTCGAGTGCTGGGATTAAAGGCGTGCACCACCACGCCCGGCTTATAAATAAATATTTTTTAAACCTGGTATTTCCTAAAATTCGACTACAGCTTTCCCCTTCATTTCTATCAACAAGATGTAAAAGTCAGGTTCTTTCCTTGGAACCCACAGAAGCATTATACTTAACATTTCTCTCAGCAATGAATCAGTCCAACAATAATAACCCTTTAAGTCAGAGCTTTCACATTAATAATAATGAAGCTCAAAACTTGCTGACACTCAGATGTTATCCCCAGGCCACTAATCCACCTTACCTTGATCATTCATACTGTCCATTATTGTCATTAGTTTCTTTAGCCTTGCCATTGATTCCTGCTCATTTCCTTTGCTCATAAAATCTGTTCCAAAACCAGGGATCATCCCCTAAAATAGATTTAAACATAAAGTGACTAATAATAGTGTTCAGAACATTTAAATTTTGGCTTTAATACTGATACATTTTTTATTTAAAAATTTGAGAATTTTATATATGAATACTGTATTTTCATTGTTCCCACTCCTCCCTGCCCACTCCAACTCCTATGTTTCCCCCATTGGCTCTCAATTTCCTACCTTTCTTTAATTACTATTGTTAAATATATATGCATATATATGCACATATATATATATATATACATGTATATACAGAAACAACCTGATTCCATATAGTGGTAGTATCATGTACATGTCTTTGGGACTGGATAACCTATCAGAGAGTATGTCCATGAAGAACACTGATTCTCTAATACTAATTCTTAAAAGATACATTTTTATCCAAAAAGTTAAAATACGTTTTTAGAAATTTTAACAAAAAACAAGACAAAGTACATTATACACACTCATTAAATGTCATTAACAAACTCATTATTTGCTGTGCTGACAAGATGAAGCAAGTGGTTCTTCTGTCACTGCCACACCTGCTGCTTTCTTTACAGTGTACTCGTTTTCTTTTTTTAAAAAATTTATTTATTTTATTTTGTTGTTTTCTTTCTTAAAGTAAAATAAATTTTTTTAAAAAGTGTAAAGAAACTTTAGAAACATGTAAGGATAACTAACCAAGATCTGACTGAAGGGGCCCATTTTCATGATATTTTGAAACTGTTCATACATGTCTCGCAACGTAAATTGACCTGAAATATAACATAAAGAATTCAGATATAGTAAAAAATGTACATGTTTATATCCAACCAACAAGCATTCACTGCACGGTTACTGTATGGAAGGCAGGAGGAGTTCGGGGAGAAGTAAAAGGCATACAGAGTGATTCTATCAGAGATGCTTACTATTCTAGAATATTAAAAAGACATATATAAAGCTGGGTGTGGTGGTGCACGCCTATAGTCCCAGCACTTGGGAGGCAGAGGCAGGTGGATCTCTGTGAGTTCAAAGCCAGCCTGCTCTACATAGTGAGTTACGGTTAGGGTTAAGCCCTGTCTCAAAAAGACAAAAAAAAAAAAAATTTATATATATATATATATATACACACACACACACATAGGGAACACATAGGGAACTTGAGAACAAGGTACACACAATCTATATCTATTAAAATGACTGTAATCAAATGGCTTTGGCACACCAACAGTTAAAAAGAACATCCAACTCCCATGCATCACTGTTAAGAATATAGCAACAAGGCCAGGTGTGGTGGCACACACCTTTAATCCCAGCACTTAGTGGGAGGCAGAAGCAAGCGAATATCTGTGAGTTCAAGGCCAGCCTGGTCTACATAGTGAGTTCCAGGACAGCTGGGGCTACAGGGAGACCCTGTCTCAAAAAGACCAAAAAAAAAAAAAAAAAAAAAAAAAAAGAGAGAGAATACAGCAACAACAAAAATGTTTTAAAAGATCTGAAATTTCAGGGCTGGAGAGATGGTTCAGCGGTTAAGAAAACTGACTGTTCTTGCAGAAGACCCAGGTTTGATTCCCAGCACCCACATGGCAGCTAACAACTGTCTGTAACTCCAGTTCCAGGGGATTCAACAGCCTCTTCTGTCTTCCTCCGGCATTGCATGGCGTGGGTGCACTTACCTACATGCAGGCAATACACACATACACATAAAATAAAAATAGTAAAATTTTGAAAAGATCAGAGATTTTTTTTTTGTTTGTTTTTTTGAGACAGGGTCTCCCTGTAGCCCCAGCTGTCCTGGAACTCACTATGTAGACCAGGCTGGCCTTGAACTCACAGAGATCCGCCTGCCTCTGCCTCCCGACTGCTGGGATTAAAGGCGTGCGCCACCACGCCCAGCTTAAGATCTGAGATTTTTAAAAAATAATTTATTATTTTTATTTTATGTATATGAGTATATGGCCTGCATGCATGTTAAGTACGTATGTAAGTGCACCCATGTCATGCAGTGTCCACACAGGTCAGAAGAGGGCATCAGAGCCCCTGGAACTGAAGTTATGGATGGTTGTTAGCCACATTGTGAGTGTTGGGAACCGAACCCAGGTCCTTTGCAAGAGCAGTCAGTGTTGTTAATCACTGAGCTGTCTCTCCAGCCCAAGAGTTGAGATTTCTTTTCTTTTTTTTTTGGTCCTTTTGAGACAGGGTCTCCCAGTAGCCCCAGTTGGCCTGGCAAATACATACATGTAGGCAAAACACTTATACACATAAAATAAAAATACATAAAATGGAATGGTAGCCTTACAATTTGAACATTTCACTATATGTTAATTAACTTCAATTTTTTTTAAAAAAGAGAAGTTTCGAGGAAATGTGAAATTGAAAAGTGGAAGAGAGGGTTAAAATTCAAATACACACTTTGGTCATTTATAAAGAAGTGAACATGGGGCTGAAGACATTGTTCAGTGGTTAAGAGCACTGGTTCTTCTTGCAGAAGACCTGGGTTTGAATACCAGCACCCACATGGCAGCTAATAACCATCCTTAACTCCAGTTCCAGGGAATCTGATGCCTTTTTCTGCCCTCCATGGACACTGCACAACATGGATGCACTAACAAATATGCAACCATTACACTCATACATGTACAATAAAATAAATATGTTTTAAAAAATTAAACAGGAAATCCATGCAACAGAAATCAAGTGAAAACTTGAAAACAGAAGGTAACATAAATATCTGGAACTAAGGAACATAAGAACAATCACTACATTCAGAAATTAGGTGGAGCCAGGCGTGGTGGTGCACGCCTTTAATCCCAGCAGAGGATTGTGAGTTGAGGCCAGCCTGGTCTACACAGTGAGTTCCAGGACAGCTGGGGCTACAAGGAGACCCTGTCTCAAAAAAGACAAAAAAAAAAAAAAAAAAAAAAAAAAAAAAACAAGGTGGAGCTTGGTGACCTCAGAAATGAACAGATTAGGAATAGAAACAACAATTCAGAGATACAAAGATTATCAGAAATCACAAAGTGGGGAAATTACACACCATACACCTTGAAGCAGTATACAGAAGCAGAATTCAGCAATGAAGGATAAATTCAGCCATTCTATAAGTATTTACTGAAGACCTATGTGTCAAATACTGAGCATGGTACTGTAAACATAAAAGATGAACACAGCTATGAACCTTACCTTCACCTTCAAGCAGGGAAGACAAATATCAAGTAATTGTAACAAATAGCTTAACAATTAATTACAGGGTACAATGGAAACACGCAATTGAAATTTCTAACTTAATCTAGTGATTGGATTGGGTCATGCAAGGAAAGATATAAAATATGAATTAAGTACTTGTCTAGAGGTACGATAAAGAGATAGATTTAATAGTGTCATGGTTGGCTTCAGCTATCAACTTAACACACCTGGAAAAAGGGAACCACAATTGGGGAATATTCTCTATCAGACTGGTCTGCGGTCATGTCTATGTGGCATTTTCTTGATTGATGAGTGATATGAGAGGGCCCAGCCCTCTGTAGGTGGTTCCATCCCTGGACAGGTGGTCCTGGATTTGTGTAAGAAAGCAGGTTGAGGGGCTGGAGAGATGGCTCAGTGGTCAAGAGCACAGACTGCTCTTGCAGAGGACCCAGGTTCGATTCCCAGCATCCACATGGTGGCTATGAACTGTCCTTAATTCCAGTTCCAGGGGAATTGAAGCCCTCTTCTGATCTCTGCAGCGTTGCACAACACGGGTGCACTCACATACATGCAGGCAATACACTCATACACATGAAATAAAAATAATAAATAAAACATTTAAAAAAAAAAAACAAAAAACAGGTTGAGCCAGGTGTGGTGGCACACCACCTTTTTTAATCCCAGAACTTGGGAGGCAGAGGCAGGCGGATCTCTGAGTTCAAGACCAGCCTGGAGAGTCAGAGAGTTCCAGGACAGCAGGTTGAGTATAAGCAGAAGAGTAGGTAGGAAGAAGGTGCATTCCTCCACGGTCTGTGCTTTAGTTCCTGCCTCACTTTCCTCAAAGATGGACTGTCACTCAGAAGTAGAAAAGACACAATAAACCCTTTCTTCCCTAATTTGCTTTTTGGTTAGTGTTTTATCACAGCAACAGAAAGCTACTAGAATTAGTCAACAAGGTGATACCAGGAATGTGGGGTATGGCTATGATGAACCTGACCATGTTGTTTTGGGGGAGGATTGTGGAAGTGTTTGGAACTTTGAGCTGGTAAAGCCTTTGAGTGCTTAGAGCTTAATGGGCTGTTTTGTGGGAACTTGGAAGACAGTGTCAATAACAGAAATGTAGATGATAGATGACAGAGGCCTGGCTTATGAAGTTTCAGAAGGAAGACTGAGAGTCCCATAAGGACTCTATCCAGGACATTCCTGTGATATTTTGAATTGAGAATCTGTGGTTTCTGGTCACTAGCGCTGAAGAATCAGTTATGATTAACAAGGGACCAACACCACTGAAGTGAAACCTTTGCTTTACTGGGACAATAGATACTGGTCAGTGGGAGCTGAAAAATCAGCCGTGGTAAGAGATCAGTATCTCTCACTGAGGTGAAATCCTCAGGGTCAGAACACAAGCTGTGGTCTAGAGGGGGCTATAGCTAGAAGTTGAACTTGGTAATGTGTAAGATTCTATCACATGGTACTGGTTTGTATAGAATGAAAACTACAGGATTGAAGGAGTCATGGAGAGAATTTGAGGCTTGACACCCTGTGAAGCCAAGAGAGGCCATTGGTGAAGGTGCAGCCTCAGTTGCAGTGGAGACCCCAGTATACTGGAAATGCCAGAACCCTGGGAGGATCACCAAGGATAGTGGTAGGTGTAGTGATGCTGAGACAAGCTGTGTGTGCTGTGTTTGGCAGAACCAGAGAAGTGGAGCTGCCCAAGTCCTTTGGAGCCAGAAGACTGTGACTAAGTTCCAGATGTCTGGCATTGAGCTATACCGCTGGACTTTGGTTTTGCTTAAATGTGCCTGGTTATTCTCTTTTTGGTTTTTTATGGCGGGGGGGGGCAGGGTCTCCTTGTAGCCCCAACTGGCCTGGAACTTGCTATGTAGATCACCCTGGCCTCAATCTTACAGAGATCAACTTGTCTTTGCCTCCCAAGTGTTGAGATTAAAGGTGAAAGCCAAAATACCCTGCCCCTGGTTAGTCCCTTTTGAAGTAAGAAGGCATGCAACTTATTATTTTATAGGAATCCAAAGTTGAGAGACTTTGGATTATTTTAAAGAGAATTTTTTTTTTTTTTTTTTTTTTTTTTTTTGTGACGGGGAGTGCTTCCATGTTTTCTTTCTGTATTTGCTTGTTATTGATATATAGAAAGGCTACAGAATTTTGTAGAATAATTTTATAACCTGCCACTTTGCATGCCTTTAATCCCAGAACTCT